TTTTCGTGATCTCATGAAAATCAATAGGAAGTTTTATGGTATACTATGCCATAGCGTTGCAGTTTAAAATAATGTGGGTAAATGAGGTAAAATTTACAGTCAGGCTGATTTTGGCAGTGGCGTGGCGTGCTTTGTGATGTATCGATTGATTTGCCATTTAAATCTATTGGAAAGGATAGATAGACAGGTTGTTCGCGACGAACACCTTAATAATCGATTCTTTACCATTGCCTCAAATAGAAAAATATTGATAGATCGCTTATCGATAATCGATCATTCACGCCTCGCCACTGGATTTTGGCTGATGGTTGAATCCAATCGATTTTACTTAAATTGGACGTGTTTGCACTTTTGCTGAAAGGAATTGTACAAAAATGAGTTTATTCAAAAGGATTTATAATGTACGCAAATCCTACAGACATAGTCCTAATTTAAGTACATCCTTGTGTTTTGGCTTCAAACATCCGATTCCAGTTATGGAGGTTAAATTTGGGGTAATTATCTACTCAATCGTTTCAGCAAATTGAAGACAAGCGTTACATGCGATGAATATGTCCTTCGGTGGGTAGGGGTTTTTTCCTATCACGTATTGGAAATATATCCGTGCTACTGAGCAATTAAGAAGTGGAAACTATTCAACAAACGTGACATATCTTCATCTATGTGACCATGGAGTTTAATGGTGTCTTACTCTTAAGTGGTTTTCCTCCTGCTCCTCGTTTTTCTCTGTAACGAAAACATCCGAGATATAGCAAAGTTACGTAGTACTTAAACTTCCTTGTATAAAATAGTTTTAAAGTGCTGCACACGAGAATTTTTCAAACGCTCAAAGAACATGTGTAAGAATTCATTTCTCGACGGTACTTGTGTACGGTATGGATAGGGTTAATTGCTTACCTCCATCAACTTTTTGTCGCAGCAACTTGAAAAGCTGGTCTTTCGTCCAGATTCAAGGCCTCTAATTAGAGACCATGGACCGAATTTTGTCGGCCATTTCACACGGAAACGCAATATTCATCGATGAGTTCAAACCGCACCACCGACCAATCAGAAGCACTAAGCCGGACTTAAGTGCGGTTGAGACTCGTCCTAAGTATATTTAAGCACGGTGAAAAGGACCGACAAAATTCGGTCCCAAGTATCTTCACTTCCCGGAACGCCTTTGAAAGCCAAAATATCTAAATCCCTGTCCTACCGTCAGTGCTCAGCACGTTTTCCCCCAGGGATTTATGTTGTATGAAGAAAAATTCAAAGAATGATTTTTTCATTCAGTCTCTGAAATCCGGCAACGGTGGAGTTTGCTCCTTAATTCTAGCTCTTTGCACACTTGTCTCGTTCCGAGAGACGAGCTCTGTCAAGCTCCGATAAGTTAAAATAATCGCACCAACCACCATCCAACATCAACCAATCGTCAACACGCTTGCCGAGTCGCTCCGAAAAGCCACCGAACCACGGTGAAAATTTCTCGATTCCGAGTAAAATTTGGCACGCGCCATTTTCTCATTTGGCTTCATTTTCCTTACGCCTCAACACGGACTTCAAATTAGAGAAAATCCGTCCCCAACCCAGCGCGGTTTTCTTGGCTGCACCGGGTTCCGGCGTAGCTAAATTCTTGCAAATATCTTGCATTTCTATGTTGATTCATGCCAAATTCGGCAACACTGCTTGTTTTTGATCGTCTGCGTGTAAAGATAGGGAAATGAAAACTGGAACAACGATACAGAGTGTGTGGTCACGAAAGTTTTAACTTTGAGCGTGGCTCTAACCGCATCATTAGCGTCACTTGAGACTGAGCGTTCTAGAAATCCCAAGTGAAAGGCTTCCTAAAGTGTAAAGACTCTTTTTTCAAGTAAAAAGTGGAGGCTTTAAAGGGAGCTCATGGGTGCTTTTTCCAGCTTTTTCATTGGCCAGCGATGCGATGGACCTTTGAAGCCTCTAATTTGAACATGAAACGTGAAGTAGAGCCAAAATTTTCATTACGGGAATCTACTTTCTGTCGAATGAGTCTTTTACACACGAGGGATATCGAGAAAACACGCAGTATGATAATTCGAGTGTTGTCATATTTCCACCAATAGAAAGCCAATGTACTGAAATTCTGAATATTTGTCTTTCACTTTTTCATCGATTTCGTTCGCAAATCAATCGAAATTATCTGAGAATATCAAGGAACAATATGCGTACCTTTCCTCAAAAATAAATATTTTGTATAAATTTGGCAACTTTTCAGTGCTCATACGGAGTTCTTCTTTTGCTTGGCAGTACTGCCAATCGAAGAGAATTTTTATTGATGAAATTGCATGAAAGTTATTGTAGAAATCACATTCATCAAAACGTCTCAAATTCACCATACATCACGCATTTTCGCGTCCGCAGTTTTCTCTCAGACGCTGGCAACTAGGCTTGCCCTCGAAGAGAAAGATGGAAGAAAATCTAACTTCAAAAACAAACAAAAAATCCCGCAAACTAAATAAGATTTTTTTCCCGTATGAGTACAATTGTTTGAAATCATTTTTTGCCCCGATTCAAAGAAATATGGAGGAAAATAAACGCGTAAAATATTTGAAATCCTACGTGAGGAATAACTTTTTTCAGCGAATTTTTCAGGGGATTTTAATAACTGGAACTCGAACATTGTTAATATTGTCATGCGACTTGAAATTGAATCATATTGAATGAACGGCCGACGCTGGCAAATAACTTTAACAGTATTTTCTCGAATTTTCCATTTCATGTCCGTTATCTGATGATTGCTGTTGAAGGCAATTTTTTGGAACTCGGTGTGTTCTTCGTATCACATGATGCAAAATCAACCTCTTTAAACTTTTCTATGGTCATCAGCCCCCCTCCCCCCCTTCATCTTAAGTCACATGTTCCCTGATCTCTTCACAAATAGACAGATTTTAGCATGCTGAACTTTGCTGAATTTAGCATAACTGCATTTTAGGTTGCACAATTTTTATGTCATTTTTCATATTTTTAACGTAGAATGGAACCGCTCATCTATTCGGACTCGCTTTACTTCCTTTAAAGGTTTAAATACTCATACTTCTCTTTCCTTTTTCAAGGAAAACACGTCAATAGACTTGAATAAAACATTAAAATAATATTTCCTATCATATCTCGGAAAAATATCGGCAGATTTTAGAGTGTTTCATTTATAGGTTTACCCTCTTAAAACACGCAGTGAAAAACTTGCAACGTCGCAAATGAGGTATGGATGTTTTTTATCTCACCGTCGATGATGAGAAAATGTGTCACGTTGCACGCGCCGCAGTGAAATTTCAGCGGTAATTCGGGATCTACTGTATACAAGTTGAATCACTACTGTTGAAGGCGCCTTGAGCAACTATTCCACCTCAGAAGTATTGCACAGTATCAGACTAAAATGAAGGCGCTTAAACAGATGGAAATTGACCGCCGGTATTGATTGTCCGCCGGGATTGTGTTTTCAGTCCTACTTAACCTACGATGTGTGGCTCCTGTTCGATCGAGTTTTGTAAATTTTGGAATCAGGGAACAATTTTTGACGGGAAACATGAATTTTAACTCAAATTTTTGAAGTTCGAAAATCCAAGATAGGCCATAAGGCCCGAAATGCCATCTCGCATCCTATTCAAAAAAATATTGTGAAACTTGATGCAAAGGTGTATTTATGACGTGAAAGTCAAATTTTTAGTCGAAGTTTTAAAATTCAAAAATCCAAGTTGTGAAAATGGTCTAAAATTCTATTTCGGCGCCTTCAAAATTATCCAGCTTCGCAATCGAAATACCGATCGATTCATTTTCTGTTCATTCTCATGATCCGTGCACTCTCACCTAATTTTGACCTCGATATCGACACGCTCTTCAGTTTTTTTTGTTGAAACTGCTAGTTCATTTATTCATGTATTTATTTTTTTATTTTCTCACTTGATCATTCGAAGGATTACAATCAAAGCTCATAATCTTTATATCATAGACGTAAAAGCGCAAAGCGAGCTGATAAAAACACCGATTGTCAGTCAGTTTGTTTAAGCGCTTTTTCAACTCCCCAGGTCCGTTAATTCCAAAAAAACGTTTACACTCTCAGTGATTTTACCCTGGATTAAGAGATTTATTCTCACAACATTTCAAGTTTTAATATTACTCAGTTATATGTTTGAACAAGAAAACATCAGAGAAGATTAGATAACTTTTGATGTAGTTGGGCCGGCTTTATGTTTTTGTCAAAATAGTTCATTAATGGTTCTGGGAAGTAAGAGCAAATCCAATCAGAAAATCCCATCTCCAATCTTTCCAGAGGTAAAATTGGACCGCGTTTAGCAGAAAGGAACCAAATCACATCAGCTTATGCCAAATACAAAGAGGCAATTTAATTTTTACGAGAGAACGTTTATGCGGAGTCCGTTGCAAATGTTTAGGAAGTTGCCTCGTATTATGCAGAAAATTCACTGAAATTTGCTAAAAAAATCCGCACAAACGTTTTCATGTAAAACATAAAATGTTCCAGTTAAATTTGGCAATAACTGATGTGGCTTGGTTCCTTTCTGCTTAACGCAGTCCAATTAACTAGAGTACCTGTATAGGGAGAGTAGCGACAGATCGGTTCATGGAGGGCTTAGGGCCCAAAAGTGCAGCCACCCTTCTGAGCAACTTCTAACACACAAAATTTCACTGCCAGCCTACAGATTTCAATTCTAACCAAGATGGCTAAGAATGTACATAAATGAGCGTTCTTTCGCAAAAATAAGTAAATTTATGCAAAAAGTAAACCAAATACATGCTTTCTAAACGACGGTTCGTAACAATTGTATTTGTAAATCGCTCTGGACATTCGAAATTCATAGGTTGGCTGCCCTTTTGGGCCCTAACTTTATTCGCGGAGGCATCGGTGAAGGCCTGATGGACTTTCGGAGTTTCAGATCTGTCGCTACTCTCCCTAAACAGGTACTCTACAATTAACGAGCTGTTTTGAGCCGAGGGACTGGATTTTGAAATCATCCGTGGACTGTTCACAGGAGACAGAGGATTGGGCGAATAAAAATGCGGACAACGTAGAAATTATGTTGGTGGCGTACTCGGCCAGCGAGGAAAACGTCAATACGTCACTGACGAAAATCCAACATCCGGCTCAGCACCAACATAATTCCTCGAATCCTGTCTCACATTTGAACAGTGTTAACAATGTACAGGCACTCTAATTTTACCTTCTGTAGGTAAGAATCGTTTTCAACTTCTTATCGGTGTAATGTGTATGGGTCAGTTACGCTGGCCTCAGAATCGTGTTTCGATGCTTGGTTTTTGTAGTTCAGCTAAAAGTAATAAGATCTGTCCAAACAGTAACTCTCTATAAGTTCAGTATTAACTAAGATATCGCGCTCTGAAAAATTCGGTTTGTGACGTCATTCACCGCGGTAGTGACACCGTTGGTTTCTTCCACCTTGTTTTCATCTGTCAGGAAGATGCGTACTTGCACTGGTTAATCTATGTGAAACTTGGATGAAATTAAGGTGGAAAAAACCACTGCTGCGGTGGTCATAAATTGAATTTTTCAAAGCGCAATATCTCGGTTAGTACTGAACGAAGAGAGTTGCCGTTTGGACAGATCTTATCATTTTTAGCTGAGGTACAAGAATCATCAACAAAACATGTTTCTGTGACCAGCGCATCTGATCCATTATTAATTGTGGATTTTGGAGAGTTTGGCCAGTCGAAAGAAGAATATCATCGGTCATATTCATAGTCGAACTACATTTTGCGATGAGAAATCGCTATTTTGGCTTATTTTAGAAACATCATTGGTGGCATCAAATACCCTTTGCATGTGTAAGTTTATGGTTGAGCTTGAAAAGTTATTTACTTCCCGTGATTCATCAAAATCAGGCCATATTTTCGTCTATTTATGAAATCCTAAATATTACCCTTGATTATATGCCGAACTCTCCAACGAAGGATATTTGGATTCAATGTTGTGACCTTTGTTTTGGTGTTGTCGTTGTTCGCCGTTCAGACAGGGTTGTGTTTCTTATTCAATCATTTAGGATTTAGGAATGCAAAAAAAGGGGGAGTTGGGGAGAGAAACATCAGGAAACCCAACTGCGTAAGTCGTTATTATAAAAATAGTTCTTGTGTAGTAGTTGTGTGTCATGTTTGTAGTTGTCACAATCTGAATCATTCGCGCTCGAGAAATTTCGTTAAAACTCATTAAATTTTAAGTGAATCACGCAAGAAACTTTCCTAATAATACTCCATGGAGATGTTGCATGTGTGAGGAATTTGCGATTTGACTGTTGATTCTTATGTAAAAGTTCGCGAGAAACACGATAGTGCCACTGGTTTTCTCTGAAATCAACTCCCAAGCTCAAAAAAAGCTCTCAAGTTGAGGCCAAAATGGAAGAGATATCCCACGCTATTCCGGGATCCACCTCTAAATCAAGACAAACTCTCCATGCGAAGATAGGAAGCAAATACATTGTCAGGGCTGCCACCTTATTCGGGGACTCTAAAACTGAAATCACGGCAACCCTGATAATTGACGGTGCAAGTCGGCAATCACATAACTCGTTTGCGGTGTCTGAAAATCTCCGCAACTATGTTATTTTTTTAAAGGAGAACAAATGGACATGATTCCTTGAAGTTTTTGCAGAATTTTCCTCGCACATAGAAGAAAAATCACGGCAGTTTTAAATAATTACCGTTGAGTATAGTTTTCCGTTTAAAAAATAAAGTATGACAGGAAGTCTGCGACGTCGCAAACCGAGCTATGTGATTGCCGACTTTCACCGTCGTAATGTATTTGCTCTCTATCTTTACATGGAGAGTTTTTCTCGATGTAGAGGTGGACTCTCAGGATAGCGTGGAATATCCCCTCCATTTTGGCCTCAACTTGAGAGCTTTTTTTGAGCTTGGGAGTTGATTTCAGAGAAAACCAGTGGCACCAGCGTGTTTCTCGCGAACTCTTACATAAGAATCAATAGTCAAATCGCAAATTCCTCACACATGCAACATCTCCATTGGCAGAACCAGTACATCGGCAACATTGTTTTTCTCCATATAAACTTATGCATGGAAATGTATCGATTCTTGAAGGGGCCAGGAGCTCCGACATGAATCGATTATTCAACATAGGTTTAAATGGAGGGAATCCGGTGTAGCCAAATTGCTGGATCCGCCTCTGTTATACTTCAGATCATCTCTGTTGAGCTTCTTGTCCCGCAGAATCACGTCCAATACAAACATCGAATAACAATCCTCTTTGGTAATAAGCGGGAAACACGAGCAATTTTGAAGAGAACTCTTCTTGATTTAGATTTGAAGTTTTGAGAGAAGTGACTTTAAGATGAACTGTAATCAACCGAAGACCAATCACTTTCAATGATGGTCGTTCTACGACCTGACACAGCATTTAAACTCGAATCAATAGCGAATAACGAATCACCGTGGATGTAGCAATCTTAAACGCTTCAGAGCAGCTCTCTAAGTGTTTTCCTAGAAACATCAGGCTTTGATTCCGTCTAGGGAAGTTTTCTAATTCCTAGAAATGGCCGAATCAGAGAGACTCAAGCCCACACTATACCAAACGAGAGGGAAAATATTGTCTTCCTTTTTGGAAAATGCACTAATTTGCTTTACATCCAGCTTACTGCTGACGTGTGTTTCTTGCTAAAAATGGACCAGTAATGGAGATTTTACGTTTGTATTTTACTTTAGGATCAATCAATATTAAATTATTCTCGCGAAAAACCGAAATGAGTGTAGATGTAGTGTGTGTGCCCTTGGAACCAATATTTGACAAGGGAAATGAGCATTGCTTTGACAACATTTTTCCCTTCCTCATTACTACGAAACTTGTCAAGAAAAGTTCAGCACACGTATGGGCTATGTGTTTGTCTCTTCTATAGAATAACTTTTTTACTCATAACGCATAACGCATAACGTATTAGAAAAATAGTTAAGTACTCGATTTGATTGAGGCAGACTTGGTTTCTTTTTCTTATGAGCGGAGAGTTTGAATCTTCACGTATAAAAGACTCTTAAACACTTATTTATGAATTGAATTTGGGAATTGCAATGCGCCCACAGTATGTTCCGTACAATTTTGATCAGGAAACAAATTAGGGGTTCTCAATTCCTTAGCCTATCTAGGGAGCCATGGCGAGACGCGATATCATGTTTGGAAAAGGAAGGCCGCGGTACTGCCTTGCTAAAAATAAAAAATTACAACATAATAAAAGAACAACGGTGTGGCTGAATGATATTTTGGAGGTTGCCACATTTCTCACACAAAGTATTCATATTAGATGAATAGTACGAATTTTCTTTGAAATTTTCAGGTACGTCAGAGTACGTTGTGAATCGCAACCCCGTGAAAAATCAAAGAAAGTCACGCATTAATTTCTCAAAATAATTCGGGTTTTGAAGGAACAATTCTGGCAACCTTCGATTATTCATACGTTGTTCTTCCTCAGCACATTAGGGCACCACTCGCCCGGTGAACGGTATTTAATTTCGGGCGGTAAGAGCCGATAAACCTCCACAATGGCTACTCAGTTGTCTCCGTTAACGGTCTACGCGGTCGTAAAATGGTGACAGTTCACTTTTGAAAGGTCACAAAACGCCTCCGATTCCCCTCCCCCCCTCCTCCCCCTCCCCTCCCAGAACTCCCGTCTGGAGTTTAAGAGTAAATAAAACACGATGAAAAATGATTCGGTGCACGTCAAAACCACATATCTCCCCTATTTAAGAACACTTAAAAGACAGGCATTCTTATGGAATGCGACAAATTGACTTGTGAGGTTTCAAAATCAACGGATTCCAATAAGTCATAGCGAACAGCAACTGTGGAGAAAACTCGAATGTCCTAGAGGAAAACCAACTGAACTTTCTCCAGAAGCGTTCACATTCACTTTCTTGTGAGGGTATTGGTGGTACGTCATGTTTATTTATATTTATTTGCTTTCTGAATAAACGGCGGAACTTGTTTGCCGTTTCGTAAGTTGAGTAAATATTGGTCGATTAAAAAGTCTCTTTCCTTTCTTTACCTTTCCGGGAGTGAATTACTGCCCTCTTGAGATATTCCGAGTTTTCTCTATGAAATTGTTTTCATGGCTGGCATCTCATAACATCAAGATTTGCATTTTTGGAAATGCAACGAGAAATTTGATACATGTATGTGAAATAACTTTTTTTTTAAATGTAAATTTTTGTCTCCTTCGCAGTTTTTTCCCCTTCAAACAGGGTGTCTACAAGTTCGAAATTCCCGGAAAGTCCGGAAACAGTACTGATTTTTTAAGGGCGGTCCGGAAGTACGCAAAAAGGTCCGGAATTTTTTCCATTTTTTGTCGTTTTTGTCGTAATTTCAGGGAGAAATTGAAATTTTTTGAATTTCGTCAATTGGAGGTACTGAAAAAGTACTGAATTTTTCTACTGAGGAGGTACTGAATTTCTTCGGAATTTACTAAAAAATTACTGAAGAAATACTGATTTCTGGTCAGTCTGTTTTCGTAGACACCCTGTAAAATTTCTATCGCTAGAGTCTTACTCAGCCATTCTCTAGTCATACTCTAGCCAATGTTGTTTCAGTACTATCGCAGTTTGGCAGCTGAGAAAGTTGCACTCTGAGCAGCTTGCGGTTTTACCGTCATGAAGGCCGCTTCCCCGTGAAAAGTTTGTAGAAGCATGTTTAGACTGCTCCTGAGACTCAGTCAAAATTAATGTCTCCTCGTGTCTTTAAAATTTAATTGTTGAATAGCAATATAATTTTTTCCATGTTAGGCCGATTGGAAACACTGAAAAACAATTCTCGGCGTTTTTATTAAGGTCCGTTGGTACTTTTACCATCTCACTTTTTTACCAATTATTGGTAATTTTACAAAGACTGACTGGTAAGCTTACCTAAAAACCGGTATTTTCACTGTTTTTTTCAGGTAAGAATACCACTTTTATTGGTAATCGATTCCCGGTAACTTTGCCATTTTATCTCGGTAATTCTACCACAGTCGATAAAAAATATTGGCGTTTTTACCGGGGTCCAGTAAAATTACCGAGAAAGTCAATAATTTTACCGAGATTTCTCGGTAAAATTACCAATTCCATAAATGGTAATTTTACCAAGAAAAAACTGGGATCAAATAGAACCCTGAATTCTTAGTAATTTTACCCTTTTCTTAGTAAATACACTGAGATTTTTTTTTTCAGTGCATGTTTATGTTAAAAG